TGTACAAAAACTGCATCAATATTCTCTGATGCCAAGTTATGGGCAAGGTTTACTGTGTCTTTTCTTCGGGAACAATACACAATTCCTTGCTCCCCTGGACAATTAGTTTTAATGAAATCAACAATTTGTTGTACTGGCTTATCTTTCTTCGCATCTATTTGTAAAAATAAATTTGTCCTTGAAATATTCACTTGAATACTATTTGGGTTGTCCATACCAAGAGTAGACTCAATACAGCTCTTTACTCTTTCTGTGGCAGTGCCAGTTAGAGCAACCATTGGAACAGAAAAGCCATTCAGGTCACCAAGTCGTAAAAAATCTGGACGGAAACTATTACCCCAACTGTCAATGCAGTGAGCTTCATCAACTGCAATGAAGCTTAATTTTCCAGCATCATTCCATGTCTTGAACACATGCTGCAGCTTACTGGACATTGCACACTCGGGGCTTGTAAAAAGGATGGCATAAGGTAAATTTAGTCTGCAGAGGGTATTCACAACAAAATCCATTTCCAATTCTGTTAATGAGGAATTGTAGTAAAATGCAGGAACCTGTTTTGCTCGAAGTTTTTCTGCCTGCTCTTCCATTATAATTTCAAGGGCTCCACAACAACAGTGAGTCCTTGCATAATGACAGCAGCCACAGTATAGATAGCACTCTTTCCACACCCAGTAGGCATTAAAACTACTGTATCATTACACCCAACAATTGAGCGTATAGCTTCAAGCTGACCATCTCTAAAAGAATCATAGCCATAAAAGTGTTTTAGGACAAATGTCTCTTTCTCTTCTTGACATTTGGGCAAATCCATTGGTGTTTCGCAATTTATGTTCATAATATTCTCTTGAGGGGTAGGAAATGAATTGACAGGCATTTTCTATACAAGGAAAGATGACAGGTGTGTAAATAAAATATCACATTGTTGCAAAGTTATAGCATCTTACACCATTGCCCCTTCTCACTTGTACATGTGTTGAAACTGTTGAATATCCAGTTAGTATATGTTGCATGCATGCTGTATGTGTTTAAATATTACATACGTACCGACTTGAAGTAGATCGATTCGGCATAAATTTTGTCTCTAGCACGCCATAATTTGTAAATAGATGTTGATGATTTGCTAGACACATGTATTTTTACACCTTCACCATTTTCTTCCACTCTTGGCAATGTAATACTGTGATCCAAATACATTCCATAAAACTTTGCTGCTTCTTTACCACTCGTACAATACAACTTGGTTCTGTCCTGACCATTTTCGCTTTCGATTTCGTACAAGTTGTACATGTTGTTCCCCTATATAGCATATAAAATATTATGGGTTAAAATTTACATTTTTATATACAGCGTACTATGTCGCACGATCATACAAAAATATAAACAATAATTACAATGAAAACACCAACATTGATTGCAGAGAATCAACTTACCGTTTCCCTTCGCTTCTCTGAAAGAGCTAACAAATTATTCATTGTTTCCATCGCAGTACGCGTACGCAATAATGACGCACCTTCGATTACAATATTTTCCGTCCATTTGACAGCTTTGTGCACTGTTCGATAATGCTGGTGTAATCCTTCTCGCGAAAAACAACAAGTGCTTTTGCAGTGAGGACAACACACACAGTTGTTCCGAAACGATATCAGATAACCTCTCTGACCTCCTATATCACTTAATCTCACTGTTTCCGCCATGATCCTATTTCAGTAAAAGCACACCCCCCGGTGTGGCGCCATGTTGGGTGTGGCATCTGGCAGAGGCTTCCTCCTCCCCCCTCGTTCTTCGTCACCGCCCGCGCGCTCTATACCAGCGGCCAAAAGCCTGCGCTCTATACCAGCGGCTGTCAGCGGCTGTCGCCCAACATCAAAAGCCTCTGCGGAGGAGAGAGTTGTATGCCCCAGCTTTGCATACAGGATGTATACAGCCAAGCTGATAGCAACATTTGAAATAGAAGATGTACTGAATGGGCAATCCTTGGACAATGTGTCTATTTTTCAACTGCCATATTCTCTTGATTTCACCGTATAAATCAGGTTTTTTCAACTTCGCTTTCTCTTTCGCCTCTTTTGTACCTTTTAAGAATACTAGTAAGATTTATCGTTCTTTTTGAGCTTCGTCTCCATTTGTAAACACCGGCTTTATTTCCACTTTTTCTTGAAGCATGAGCATATCTGAGAAATGCTGCGCAGGATTTTTGTTAAACAGCGGTTTTGCTTTCACTACACCAGCACATACCTCGCCGGTAGTTCATGTAGCAGGGAAGTTGTAGCATGTTGTTTGCAGAACTGATGGGTAAGGGTTAGTGTAATCAGTCCTGGTTGTAAGCGGCGGATTATCATTCAGGCAAAGGGTACCACGTTGCTTGCTTGTCGTCATAGTATCTAAGCGAAATCCCGCTTGGTCGTCACGGCCAGCGTTCATTATACGTTTACCATCCCTGTACTGGATGTCGTCTAGAGCATTATATAGTGCAGCACTCCAATGATCGTCTGGGTTAAATTTCAGTGTAAAACCCTTTCTCGCACGCCTTTGGGTAACATGAGCAAGTCCCTTGTATCTTGCAGCGGACTTTCAGCGCTTGTTCAGTGGAACACACAATTGAACTACCGTACCATAACTGAAATTTCGTTTGTACTTAGCTTGCAGATGAGCTGGAATGCTACGGAATGTTACCTTCTTCCCAACACGCCTATTACCATCAAACTTTAACACTCCTGTCCTGCGCCACGAATCAGCGCCTACTCCCCTCTTGCGCACGAACTCGATGGCATTTCCTATGTCTGGGCATTCTGCTTGAATTTTTCCAATCTTTTTACTTCTTTGTCTTCGTAGGAACCGCCTTTCCGCAATACGCTTCTTTATTTCTCTCTTAGCTTTTCGTTGTATGGATGCCCTCTTTTTCATAATGACTGCTTTGCCTATTTCATCCAATGGATCTTGCACTCGGCACAATGTATCGGGATCTTCTATATCTGATTCTGACAGAATTATTCCATTATCTATGTTATCTTCTTTTTCTTTTTGACTTCGTTGTATTGAATAGGCTTGTCTAGATTGATTTACTAAATTCTGTTGATCTTCACTTATGTTTATATTCGGTAACTTGTGGGAAAAACAATCGACCAATGTTTCAATTTCACCAAGTGATACATAATGCAGAATATTACATACAATATGAACAAATTCAACCCAGTTGAAGTCACAGCTGCGAAGGATCTCAGTAAGTAATTGTTGATCATTTAAACAATTGCCTATTTGACTTCCTTCTACAGACCCTTCAATATTTCCCAACGGTTTAGCATTATGATTAGTTTGACTTGGTACTCTGTATTCGTCTTCGGAATAGTCACTAGGAAGGTTAAGATCGGCTTCCGCTACGAGTACCGATACCAATAATCAGTCACGCGCATGCGCAGATGTAGCAATCGTCCAAAACGTGACAACACTGGAAGTCGCGAGTACCGTTTTGGGGCTGAAAATGGAAGTGGATAGGTAGGCGAAGTACCGAATTATATTTACTGTATTATTGTCATTTTCTGCAGTAGTTTTCTGATAATATTATTTAGGTTTTAGTTGTATAATGTTTCTGCTTTGTTTGGTGAGACTGAAGGATTGTGATTAGAGTTTTTGATGTGAATACAGCCGCTATACTCCGCCATGTTTATTTACTTCTTACGGAAGTCACAATCTTAACGCTTTAAAATTTCCGCGCTGCCAAACTGTAATACGTCATGTATTTTCGTATCGGTACTGGTAGTGGAAGTAGATCTTAACCTCCCTACTGTCAGTTTCGCTACTGTCAGAGCTACTACTTCGGTTGTAGCAACATTGATACCAAGGGAACGGGCAATAACTTCATCTTTAACTTTTGCTATATTCTCAATAGCCTCGCGAATATACAACTAGCTGATTCAAGCGCTTTTTCAACCTGACCAACCTTGGAAGACATGTCATTGAAACCAAATACGTTTTTAGCCTTTGAACTTGATAAACCAGTAGCTTTTACAATCGCATATTTTCGACGCACTTTTTCTCCATCCGACTCCGCAAGTTTTAGCAAACTGTCTACTGTTCCCCTGCTTATATTAATTGGTTCATGTGTATTTTGAGATTGAATCAAACTGTTGAGAAGCGATCTTAAAACTTTGTAATGTACTGTAGCTTGTTTTTCGACCAAATATATACAATAATTGCCTTTTCCTCGGTCTCCAACTCCAATACTAACCAACGGCATTTGAAGTAACTTCGTGCGCGCATGCAACGAAGTGTAACTGATTCCAGGGCTTGTCATTGTAAAAGCATCTTTTAATTTCAAAAAACCGTCATCAAGTATCTTTTGCGCAACTTGAATCATACTTAAACACAACTGGGACGGCTGGCTATGTCGTGCCTTACAAACGTAACTACGAGCGTTAGTATAATCGCTTAAAGTAGCTAAGTCCCTCAAATATAGAAACGTTTTCTAAAGTTTCAAATCTAGACAACGGTCGCTTTGATTGTTGAATAAATGTATTTATGTTGTTTGACTCCCCTCCGGCCACTCTGCTGTTATCTCGGGAGAGGATTGGGGAAAAATCAGTATCTCTTCGTTTCTTTCTTCACTGCAACACGGTTCAGGATCTTGTATGATTTGCATACTTTCATCAGAATTGGAAATTGTGTCATCGCTTTGATGGTCACTGCTGCAGGTACTGGGATTGGATGATTTTTTCCTCAATAAACAAACTGGTCAGTCAAAGACACCTCTGCTCCTTGTGCATGAAATTCAATGTCAAACAAAATAGTTTGCTTCGTACAAACTTATCAGTTTCTCTGTTTCGGTATCTTTCCACACTCGTTCGCTTTTAACCCTTTTTTTATTGCCATGTTCGTCTACAACAACTGCTATTGTACTTTCAGCCATTTTTTGTGTTGTTTTAGCCATTTTTTTGTGTTATGCAAAATAAACATATAAAATATAATACAACAAACAAATATAATAAAATAAACATATAGACAACTTTATAATGAGAAACACTACCAGAAACTAACACATGACCCGACCCCTGAAATTCTAACTGAAACCAAAACCCTAGCACACAAACTCCACAAATCTAAGGCCATTGACAACACAACATTTAAATATCTCACAATTGACAATCAAGCCAGGACACCACAACTATACCTTTTACCCAAAATACACAAAACTAACATTCCAGGTCGACCTATTATCTCCGGTTGTGGTGGACCAACAGTCAAGCTTTCTCAATATGCTGACCATCTACTCAAACCACTCCTACAACACATACCATCATATGTCCAGGACACTGCAGACTTTCTATGCCGGATATTTGCTCAGAATAACACACTACCAGACAAGTTCATACTTATTACTATTGACGTAAGAAGTCTCTATACCAACATACCTAATGATCAAGGCATCCAAGCCTGTATAGACATGTTGAAAGAAATCAACACAATTACCCCTGAAATGGAGAACTAGTTCATGACATCCTATCCCTTGTACTTAAGAAGAACGCCTTTGCTTTTAACAACGAACACTTCCTACAAATTCATGGCACTGCTATGGGATCACCAATGGCACCTACCTATGCAAACATATTCATGGCAGCACTTGAACAGGAGCTCCTCCAACAAGCTCCTGAAAATCTTATACCTATTGAATGGATAAGATTTATAGATGACATATTTGCAATTTGGACACATGGCACTGACAAACTGGAAAAATTCCTTAAATACATAAACAATTTTCATCCTACCATCAAATTTGACTTTTCCTTCTCTGAGAAATCTGTCAACTTCCTTGACACAACTATCTACAAAAACAAAAACAACAAACTGGAATCAGACCTGTACATTAAACCAACTGACAAAACCCTTCTACTACACAAAAGCTCATTCCACCCCACCACATGCAAGAACGCAGTCATCTACAGTCAGGCTCTACGATACAGACGCATAATTACAGACAACAACAAATTACAACAACGACTAAACCACCTCCTGATTGCACTGATCCATCGCGGATATGACCACGACACCATCACCACCAACTTCAACAAAGCCCTACAATACACCCAAACAGACCTACTCAATAGGAAACAAAGCCAAAAAAACACAAGCCGCCCAATTTTCTCCATTCCATACAACACAAACACAAAATATTGCAAACATCCTACGTAAACACTGGAACATATTGGAGAATGACCCCACACTGAGGAGTCTATGGCAAGAACCTCCAATTGTAGCCTACCAACGTAATACTAACCTGAGAGACACACTTATCACAGCAAAACTTAATACCAGACACAACGCTAACCAAACATAATAACATCCCATAACCCAAATCCCCCAGGCCTTCCATCAACCCCAAACCTAACCAAAACCAGCCAAAAACCTCCACACCATCCTAAACACAGATACAAAAAAATTTTGACCACTCCCAATTGACATTGTGTCTGAATACCACCTTGAAAACACCAGAGTGGATATAACAAACCAAAGAACTTCTGGGACACACTGGGTTACAAGTGAGAACATGCAAGAACCAATTAACACATGACAAGCAAACCCTGTGGCACTCTCCTGTGAAAACAACAAAACTACATGACTTAACCAGTCACATCAAATCTGGCATCCTGGGCATCCTGCGGACATAAGTATAGAATTATTTTTTTAAAAAAATACTTGTCCTTAGCAGAATTAAGCCATAAATATGACCAGATGCCCGAACAAAACCTAAATGTTCAACCACACGGATTAAATACACTTCAAATCAAACCACATGAACATGGTCATGGATAATGTAGTCACGTTGAACAATCCTTATGTAATATAATGTACAATCCGCTATCCATATGCTGTATATATATATATAGTTATAGTAATTCAAACGCATGACAACGTCCACGTTGACTTCTAATTACCGATGATAATTTAAACACCTACTAAATAATGATACCTATATACCTACAACCTTACACTCACAATTATATGCACGTTTTACAAGCTTATCATAAAACTTCAAAATACAAACCTTAAAAACCTTGACTACCTCAAATTGATAACCCTATTATATTCACGATTGAAACCCTCACGGTTGATGCATCGCCGAACATCGACCCACGGAAGTTTTTAGACCCGGGGTAGTTTACTACCCACAGATGACGATAGCACTGTAATTCTGTAATTCCTCGCCAAAAATCCAAAACATTTCAACCCAATTTTTATTTCATGACTACGGTGATAAAACGGAACTTCAACAATTATAACCAACCATACTACATGAAGTACAACTCACAACCAAAACACATTTAAACCTCGGATGTCCACACACAACCATAATTGACACGTAAACCCCCACTATCCCCAACACAGACTTTGACACCTGACCTCAGTGACGTAACATATTAACGCATTTTATGCACACACGTGCAATCCTTGACCCCTTTTCGATCAAGTCTCTTGAACGGATACAAGCTCGAACACAAGCTCTGCTGTCAAGCAATTCAAAACAATTTTTAAGTAAAATTACACTCCATTTCACATCAACCCTGAGATGGCTCACCGCGTTGGTTTATCTAAAGTCAACAACAACTTTGGTAAGACACACAGTTTAATTTTACCATTTTGCCTTTTACGAATACACTCTCACGCAGGTTTGATAACTTTAACCTTGATTTTTTATGATTCTCCTACAAACACACACCACTTTTACTCACTTCTTATCTTCATTGTTCCTTCACACAAAGCCAACCCTGCTCCCCGCTGACGAGTCCGCAAAAGGATGAAACGCCGCGTACGGGGATACTGATTCGCACGCTTGCCTTCTTGTCTTCTGTTTTACTTTTCTACCTACCTCCTTACATAACCTTGACTTAAACACCACCAATAACGCTACACAACCTATTACTACAAACGCAACTACATAGTTTCTTGAAGAACTCCATCATAAACAAACAAAACCCCCTTTTTAAAAAATTTTTTATTTCAAACACACCACATGGTTGGCGGTTGTCCAACAAATTCCAAACTACCCCATCTGGTTATTTTTATTTCCATTTCTACGCCCCTCAATTCGCAATTAACCATTCAACAAATTACTCATTATGTTCCCCTTTAGCCCACATACACATAACGTCCTATTTTTTTCTCTAGTTTGTCTAATTCAGACAATTGTTACAAATTAACTTATAACTATATAAGAACTACAATATGGTTCCAATTACCTATGTCAAAATATAAAATAAACATTGAAAACACGAGCAAATTCAGCTATATATTTTTTTACACTGTCATGTTCTTTACCAGAAAAAAACACACACAAAAAAGTGATGTTAAAACATCGTTCCCACCTTGAAATGTCGCTTTTAAACAAGAAAGATTCCATTCTTCCAGCTTCTGTTCCATAAAAACATCCACGAACCATCAAAAGCCTTTAAAAACTTTGTCTTTTTGAAGAAAAGTTGTCAAGGAACCGAGCATTTGTAAAAAAAACACATATGAAAAGCCAGGAAGAGCGCTTAATTCGTATAGGTTTCTAGATGCTAATTGGTTGGCTTGTTTGGGAGGTATGTAGAATTACCGGGGGAAGTATGTCAGGGATAACGCTTCCCTACCCGAGAATGTTTCCACTTGTATTTTTTAAATCTCTGGTCTCGTCGTTGATATGTTCATTCATTTCATTAATTGAAACAAAACTACTGTAGAAGCGTAAATATAAGTATTGATGGAAAATTTGCTGCCACATTTCGCTACATTAATAGTATGTACTTTTGTGCTCGCTTGTAATTTGGCCCGTTCGGACTATGGGAAACTTTAATAAAAATCAAAGCTAAAGGTGATTTTAATACACTCAAAGTAAAATATATATTGTTTTAAACCAATACTAACATATTGAGTGTGAAATCAATGTTCTGGACTGTAGTTTTTTATTGATAAATTGCAGGGTTGTGTTTTTACATCTCTTAGTCTAGATAATCAATCTATTGTTTATGTTTACTAAACTGAATTATTTAAAATTTTGCACCTTGTGTAAATCAAATTTTTAATGTCTGTAACAATATCTGGTTACCTACTGGATATCTCAAATTTAAACAATCTGGCATGCCATTAATCTACCCGAAGCACTCCCTTTGATTAGTGTCATCATTAACATTGGTGCAGCACTTTGGGTGCTTTGTGGTGGGATATTTTGAAATAGGGAATCCCATCTGAGTTTCTAGCTATTAATCAAGAACTCCTTCTCTTAGAAGATTTGGCAGCTTTTCCTTTGCCTTGAATGAGGCTAAGTTAAAATATTTTCTATATATATAAATTATATGTACTTTTTTAAGCCATGAAGCAGCAATTAAGACCCTTCCTGTTACACGCTTAACCTAACACTGATGTATTCATCAAGAAAATCCATTTAATCTATCAACCAGTATAACTTGGATTATTATTATATTATTATTACCACCACTATTATTATTATTACTATTATTATGAAATTTTGGAATGTTTAAAATCCAACAAGGCTGATATACATATATAATCAGAAAGATCATTACTACGAAAGATCGTTAGTTAATGATATCGGTCTTAGCTGATTTAACGGAAGTTAACGGAGACTCCTTTGGCAGTGGATTTAAATATGTCAATTTCGAAATAGTAGGTACGCACTGCTGTTTTAAAGATGAATTCAATACATTTGCGATAACTGGTGCAAGATAAAAGGCAAAATCTCTCAAGACTCAATACGGAATACCATCCGGACCAGCTGACGTTTGTTTTTGTCTCCTCATAAAATTTTTAGCAGCTTCTATATCAATAGTTGGGATTCGAGTTCCTTCAGGAATTCTCAATGGGACAGGACTCACGTACTCTTTTTCAGTATTTATTTCTTGAAAATGTAAATTCATTTGTTCTGGATCAGTAATATTACTGATATTTTCTGACCTAGATCGTCTTCCAGACCATCTGCGAGAACCTTCTTTGCCTTTAGTTTTAACATTTTGAATAGCTTTTACTTGATTTCCTCGGATTAGTTTATTTATCTTCTTCTGCAGTTCAGTATTCGCGCCTTTCTTGAGTTCCCTATTCCGTAAATTGCATAGATGCTTTACAAGAGGAGACATGAACGGTGGGTCACGAGTCGACATTTTAACCTTGATCAAAGGAAAGCACTCATTAAACATATTAGAGAGAGTTTCATTTAACAAATCAACTCCTTTATTGACATCGTCAATATTGGCATCGTAAATCGGGCTCCAGTCATGTACTTCTAGTTTCTTCTCCATTCTTATTTTGCGGTGATATCTGACGTCACGAAAATACACAACATTTCGCTCAGGCTCAGGCTTAACTGGCCGCTGCGGCGAGTCACGACAACCGCGGAATGATCAGAAACATACCAAACACGGGGAAACGGTAGGAACTTTCCCTATGTGAGGGTTATATTCTTTAATCAGGAAAACTTTGTCACTATAAAGTGATTTTCACAAAGGTCCTACATTATATACATCACTATACAGAATATATAAAACTATGTACTGGATAAAAAGTCTCTTTAATATTTCTTACAGATATAGATAAGTCTAAAGTTATTAAGTTAAACGTTTTGAGAATAAATTTCTCTTAAGAATTGATAATGAGGAAGCATTTCGAATATCATTGTGTATGTCATTCCAGTCCTTATAATAACAGCTTGGTAATTCGTACGTTGTTTCCCCCAATTACGTTTAATCTTAGGTAGTCTTAATGTGTCTTTGTTTCTGGTGTGATATATATATGTTATTTACCGGCTGCGAGGTCCGGATGCAAAAAAACTGTGCCGGAGGTCTCGAAAACGGCCCGAGGCCGTAGGCCGAGGGATGTTTTTGACACCGAGGGCACAGTTTTTTGCATCCGGACCGAAGCTGCCGGTAAATAACGTGTTTATTTTTTAACCTTGACTTTTTTGACTTAATAAAACACAAAAAATTAATGAATAAACTATAAAAATTTTAAATTCTGCAAGCCATTTTAGAATTTTAATACGTCAACAACTCCTTATAAGGATATCCTAGTCGGGAAACAGCCAATGAAATGGCAAATATTGTTACCATAGCGACTAAATCACGGCGAATCGATTAAAAAAACAACGTATTCACAAGCGAAAAAAGGCGTAAAAAATCCAAAAAAAAGAAGTTTTTCGGGTATGTTTTTTATTTTTAACATTCATTTAGCCTTTTCCCGAAAGGTTTTCACACATTTTAGCCGTACGTTGCTTTTGTTTTGTCGTTTTTCTTGCATTTTTCACAGCGGGCCGGATGCATTTTGCAGCGGGCCGGATGCAAAATTCCGGCCCGCTGTGAAACGCTTCTCAGCCAATCAGATTGCTTCATTTACAGAGTTAAAAAATAACCATGAATCTGACCACGGGTAACAATATCCAAAGAATGTTCTGTAAGACCATTAACACACTTGTAGGTATAAATACAACGATGGTAGATCCTACGCTGTTCTAGGTTAAGCCAACCCAATGTTGACAATGCATTACTTGCTGAGGAATGCAAAGATCTGTCTAATATTATCTTAGCAGCCTTGTTCTGCAGTATTTTTGAAGGTCATTCATCAAAACGATGTTGTCCTTGTCGCCCCAAAATAGATCACCGTAGTCGAAAATAGGTAAAATTAAGCTATTGTAAAATAGCAGACGAGCCTCATGTGGCAACAAATGTTTAATTCTGCGTAAAAGACCTAGGTTTTTATTTATCTTGGAGGAATTATATTCAACATGATCGGTCCAAGTAAAATTGGTTGATAACATTATTCCTAAGTATTTAAAACTAGAAACGGTATTGATATCATTATGAAAAACAGATAATGAAAACGAGGAAATATTACTAAGCTTCCTATTACTGCCTATTATCATTGCTTTTGTTTTATCGAGGTTCAAATGAGCTTGTTGTCGTGAAGCCATTGAGCAACACTTGAAAGATCGTATCCGTAATCAAATTCTTTGGCAGTAATTTAAACAACTTGAAAATCTGTTTGCCCGGATGTCGTGAAAGGACTGTCTGGTCGTCCGGATGTCGTGAAAGGACTGTCCGTATAGAAGGCTGTTTGCGCTTGAGGTTGGAGTTTACGTTGGTGGAATA